TTACAACAGGGACACGGAAGTCTTCTCCTTGTGACGACCACTCATCGCACCATCTTTCATTCTGTCACACCTAATGACGACAATGACCGATTTGGAGGAGTGCTATTGCATTCCTTAGATCGCGGTTGTAGCATGGAGGTATCTATTCGAGACAAAGCTACATCTCTCATTATTTGCCTGATAACTCCTTCCTCCTCTCACCCAAAGGCTTTTACCTAACGCCTTTGGAATTCATCTAATCTTACGCTTGAGACGTCTTGAATGCCATACACGATGAAGGACTAATGGCACTGGCGCCGCCTTGATGACAAATGGTTGTACAATCTAAATCTACTGCTTTAGCTATTAAATACCCCCTCAGGTTGAATGTTTCCCCTCTGCACCACATGATGAGTCTGAAAGCCAATACGAGGTTGGTGGATGGATTATGATAAGTGGCAAGTAGTTCAAACGAATTTGGATAGACTCCTCCCTCTCCACCCCCAAATCCTCTAAACCACGCGTACAATCACGGCAGCGGAATGTTCTAACTCATCCCATTCCTTGCCGCCCCGCTTCGTCCTGCACTTTAACAATAAGGAACTGCTACCTCCATCCACCTTCTTTTGTATCAAGGATTTACCATCTACTTTTTCACTGTTGTTGTTTGAGTCCCCAAAACAATATTAGCAGAGAACTACGGCGAAGAAGGGCAAAAAGACGAGGAAGGGAAAGAAGAAGCGACGAAAGGGAATGGGGATATGGGTGAGAACGAAGCGGCAACCGCAAACCCATCCTGCCTCAACCTACCCGACTGCATCTCATCCCATCCCGTCCTAAACTACATATCTTCCTTCTTAAAATATTCTACTGCTGCATCAGATATGATGCCATGCTTCCACCTGCCCCACAAGAGTACGAACACTACTTCTCCAGACTAGCTGATTTCCCTTGCCTCTTCCCTGAGAAGCCTCCCCCTTCTTGACACATTCGTCACCTCTTAATACCGGTGAGTAACTCTATTCTTTTTCAAAGTGGCTTGACATTCTCGCCCTGATGCAGCATCTCTCCCCCAGTGGTCCATTAACCTGACCTTAAATAACTGCCCAATGCCTTTGGCTCCGCGATTTCCGCCCTGCAAAGTCAGCCCGAATAAAAACTACAAAACAGACGACTTTGACATAGCATGCACAGGTAGTATTCTGTCTTGTATATACTTGCATAAAGCAAATATTTATCGGCTTCACATCCAGTTTGGTTAAACAGAGCTTCAAAAGCCAACCGCCCCTACCCCAGTCGACGATAAATACGCCTGTCCAGGCAATTGCCTCCCCAAATTCACAACATGGGGATGGGTGTAGGGCATAACAACTGCAATGCATTCTGCTTGTTGGATGCAGTAGTATCAAGTGTATCACGCGATAAAACCGTTTGAAGTGCTTTTTTACAGCCCGTGAGGCCATAAATAGCCGGGAAGTGAATACATTAACGAAAGGGTCTGAAATAAAATGGTGGATGATATACAGGGCGGGGGTATATATTTTAAACCCATTCAAGGGTTCTATCTTAATAGACAGGGCATTAATTGGGACAAAATAAAACACTTCTAGGAAGATTTTTTTGTTTTTTACCTACATCTGCAGTGCTTGAAACGTCATCGCTTCGGCGGAGCAACATAGCTCCCCTGATCTTCTGGTGAAAGGCTGGAGACCTGTTGGCTTTCAGAACATTTTGGTAATACCTCCTCCGGTGTTCATAGGGGATCAAAGCCTAGGTTGTCAAAAATTATTGAAACGATAACTTATTTGAGAGGTTATTAACCCATTCACCAGTATCGTCACATATATGTGACGTTCTGCTTTTCCTAACCGAATCACTCCAAACGTCACCCATGAGTGCATTAAGTAGTGTGTAAGTAGATAGCAAAAAAGAACTAGTGGTATTCAAAAGCCTCAAAACATTGGGACAGTCAAAGTGGGTCCGGAAATATCACCGCACCCGTTTTCCGACCAAGAAAACAAAAGAGGTCGTCTTTGCTGCCACCAGTGGTATTTTATTAATCCAAACCTACTAGCTTATGCGTGCCCTGTAAAAAATCATGAGATCTGATGATCTCGCCTTTTTGGTTGTTTTTCATGCTAATGACCTGATGGACACCTTGACTACAAGAACTATGCTCTATTTACATGCATATATGATTATTGTGGGACATGATATATGCAAAAAAGTTGTTTTTCTCCTTCTCACCTCTTCGTTTTTACAATTTGTCTGTGGGTATGGACTCAGCCTCATCTTTTTTGCCCACACTTCACACAGATTCATGTGGTTGGTTCGCCCAAAAATGACCTTGTCACAATTCAAACCTTATTGGGTCCCTGAGATCATAATTTTAGCCATGTATTTTAGCAAATGACTCTTCAATATTTGGAAAAATATAATAATAAAGCCATTCAGATGCGTGATGATGGTGATAGTGATGGCGATGATGCTGATGGGGATACAAAGCAGATGCGATGCACATATGCGCTTAGTCCAGGAAGAAGAACACGCGGAGGCTGATACAGAGTTTGAAAATTTGTTAGACAAGACGAGTTCGCCAAGGAGACAGCTTGCTACAAATCAACAAAAATGTGATGCCCGCCGAAATGCAAAACCACAAATTTTTCCCGAGTGCCACAACTAAGTGCGCACAAAAAACATCTCATAATCCACTTCCTTAGGTTCTTTTTATTTGTCCTAATAAAATACGGGAATTTTTAGACATCTTTGCTGCCTCCAGAACTCAATTCACAACCAACCAAACCACTCAGACAAAAGAAAGAGGATGATTAAATGGGAAGGGTGTGGGAGGTGGGTGGGGCCAAGTTCTTGGACTTCATGTAACATTTAAACCTCCGTTTTACAATGTCACGAAGCAAAATGTCACAAACATTCAACATGTGCCATACGTCCCTGTGGCGTTTTTGTTTATCCGGTTCAGTTACTAGATCCCTGTTTGAAAAGAAAGTACTTTAAAGGACAATAAAACGCCTAAACTTGGTGGTCACTTGGCCTGGCAGACATCTGTACCCAAATTGTTAGTTTGTTTTCGCCAAAACGCTAGCCTAGTCAAGCGATAGAGGAATTCTGGAGACCATTCTCAAAAACCAAGCCTTTTACATAAAATCTTAAATGTTTTTCCCCATTTTAGAGAGTCCATAGAGATATTTCATCAGTGAAGATTAGCTGATAAAAGCTAGCTAATGGGGGGAAGACAAAGTGCTTTAAAGTGGCGTGCCTCTTTGAGCCTGCTTTTCACATCCAACAAGAAGTGCTGTTTTTACTTCTTTTCTGAGCTAAAACACACCAAAATTTACGAGTTTTAAGTATTTCTTTTCAATTTATAATAAAAGGTCTGGAAACTCCTGCGTAGAATAGGAAATTTCTTGGAATACATATGGGGGCTGGAGATGCTTAGAGCTTTCAGAGAAAGTTGGCATCTCAAGACTCTGGAAGGCAGCATTTTGAAGAGTTGGACTCCACCTCCAGACTGGTTAATATTTCACAGAAATGCAATTTATGCTTAGAAAGGGCTGGCTTTCCATCCGGGTCATCCGCGAAGGCGATCAAGTAGTAGGAAAGACCAACGTTCGGTGGATGAGTTTATGAAAATTGAAGGTACTCGCAAATTGGCTGCTTGCATTATCAAACGTTTTGGGGGTCCTTTCGACCATCTGAACCCATGCACCTCCACATCAAGCTGATGTCTGCAACTCCACGTAGTCTACTTTGCAAACCAACCGTGACTCTGTTTATGCAAGAGGAAGCAGCTTTCACTACGGCTACTTGCGTGGCATTCAAAGAAGAAGGTGAGGTATGCGGCAGCAGAACAATGCCCCATCCAGAAGGGTTTGCGACACTTAGTTTGATTCTCGAGGTGAATACGTTACTGGTAGATGCATCACATTCCTGAAGGCTCACCACTGTTGATCTTCTTGATTCTTCAGTCATGTATGACCAGAAGGTTGGTGAAACAGTTGGTTTAGATCCAAACCAACGGGATGGAGTAGTTACAGAAGCCAATAAACTGACCCAGCAGGTCTTGCGTAAGTTGTGAAAGTATAGCATGGGCATCTCTTTTTTGTTCTAGGCCTCCTCAATGAGTCTCATAAAAAAAGATTCACTGGGAAATGGTTTTTGCAGATTAACCGACCTACCGATTGACTGACTGACAGATTAGTGGCGAGAAAATGTGCTTGTGGGTTGATTCCCAGGTTCTACAACAAACCACCAGTCACTCGCCCTTAAAACTGCCAGTAATGACGGATCGGTCTTGGTTTCCGGGGCTTACCTATTTGGTACGCGAGATTCAAAGACTGGTGGGAGGAGTTTTATCACTCCTTACCCTCTCTAGTGGGTCTTCTCCTTACGGAGAAAGTCCAGGCATCCATAATGTTTCTTAATAAACTAAAGTGTGTTTAACTTGTGTGAGTTAATGCCAAGAGTGCTGCAGTGGTGATTCGTGTACTCTCTGAAGTTAAAAGAAACCACAATGAAATGGAAGAATATACACTACTAACGTAGTGTAATGCCTCTAAGGCTTTGTTTCACTCCCCATTTCTTCATTTGTACCCTCCCTTCCTTCCACTTCACGAAATGGCCCTTAATTTATCTCGATTAGTCTTTGCCGCCTATAAAATTTAAAACTTCGGGCGAAAAGGTAGGCGGAGTCTATAGCCCCCTCCCCTGCAGCCTCCAAACATGGTCACGCAGCCTACATGAGTGCCGTGACAGATTGAGGCAAGAGGCAAATTAAGCCTTACCGGCAGGCAGTCTGGGCTAATGCAATCAGGCAAGCAGTGGTGGCTGCTCCTCTGCTTTCTAGGCAGACCATGAAAACGGGGGTTGGGGCGACTCCGGAGCCATATAAGTGTGACCTCATGTTCGACGCAGCACTGGAGAGGGGCCTGGGCTGCCACAAATTTTGGTGGGTTCTTGAGTGAGTGATTGACTTCCTAGCAAATTTATGCAAATCTCTATTCAGTCAGACTACCTCAAATATCCCATTTATTTTCATCCAGTAAAAGAATTCGAAAAAGAAATTTTGGCGTAAGTTTCCACTTGATGAAGTGACACTATTTGACGGAATGACAAGCTAACGTGCTTAATGATTCGTCAATCTGTCGACGAGCTGTCCACCTAAAGGTTCTGCGCCTCTCGCGGCAATTCCCTCGATTTTTGAGTGCAGTTTAAGGTATTCCTGACCCGGATGGTAGTCACCAGGCTTGTTACTTGATTGGTGGAAGATTTCGTCTACTCCTCCAAGTTTTATCCGGGGCATTTTTGAAAGCCGCATTACTTATTTATTGGGCAGAAGCAGAAGTGTTTTCTATGTGTCATCTTGGCCTCTCTTTAATCTTGATTAACGTAAACGTGTCAGCCTTCATGGTTTCAATGTCCCGTCTGGGCCTGTGGCACCTCACTACACCTCCGTGAGTGGCTCGTGGATAGAACCAAGAGTAAGGGCAATCCAGGTTTAATGGAAAAGAGCTCATACAATAAAAGCACAGAAAAATGAAATTGGTGAAGACGTACAACTAAAGCGTCCTTAGAACCACGTTAGGTTCTGATCTACGGCCATTAGTGGCTCACGGTAAATCCGATTCATGAGCGATTGAAGAGAACTTCTTGAAAACTGCTAAAGATTCTGTCAAACTGTCTCAAGTCAAAAAGCCAATGGTGGCCGGAAGAGGGTGCGCATTGTCCAGCACGAAATAAAACCCCTTCCTGGAACAAACTATCTTTTCGGGAGTACGGCATTTGCGAATCCCCATCCAGTAGACGGTAATCACCGTCACCAATTAATCAAGCAATCTCTACTACTTAGATGAGCGCAATCTAGAGGAAATGGGACCCAAGAAATTCGAGGATCAGAGGTGTTGCTCAAGGGAAGAAGGGGTATGGGTAGTAGTACAAGCTTTGATTATTTCTGGTCTCTACCACTTATTCGTGATATTAACTTCGTAACCGTACTATTGTACCATTCTCAGTGAAACTAAAGTGAAAAACAAAATGTTAAAAAGTCACGAAACGGCCCCTGCACCTCATGTTCTGTAAGGACAACACTTCTTGCCAACTGTACAACTGCGTTCTGTTTACACTACCTTGGCCATAGAAGCTAACGATCAAGGACATAAACGAGGACTCTCAGATTTCCACCGTATCCTTACGTCTTGTCCAGGTATTCCATGCCAATGTGTCCACTTCACGCCTCTAGAAATGACAATGGGGCCATAATTTCGCTCATATCTTCAATACATAATATCGGTGAACATTATCTAGCAGATTTAGAAATAGATAAGGCCACTGACATGTTACTCCCTCTTAAGGGCTCTTCTGTCATCCGCTTCCTTCCCAACTTGAACCCACTCAGCCCCATTTCACTGAATGTTACTTAAATCATCTTGATGTCAGCGATTTCACATCTCTGCTGGAGGTAGTTTTTACTGCAGCTTCTTGTATATCATTGGGAGAAGAAGGTGTGGTACGCGGTGGTGGAGCAATGCACCGTCTAAAAGTGTTTGTAACAGCTGGTTGGATTCTCGTAGTAAATACTCCACAGGTACATGCATCACGTTTCCGACGTTCTTGTTCTTTAGAATTCAGTCAAGGGTTTAGACCCAAGCCAACAGGGGTGGACAACTTGCTGAGGCCAAGAAACTAAGCTAGCGGGTCTTACGCCCCTTGTCGAAGGTTAGTAAGGCAATCACAGTGCTCTTCTGTGCCTCATAAAGAGAATCTACCGAAAAATGATTTTTGCAGACCAAGCGACTGACTGATTGACTGGCTGGCTGGCTGGCTAACTAGTGGGAAGGAATGCTACCTGGGTTTTTGGCCTCCAACGATCACTTGTTGAGCATCACTTCATTCCCCCAAGAAGAAATACTCACTACGATTGCGTGTTGTAAGCAACAGACGTAATTATTTGGAAGGAATTACTCACTCACTGAAAGATAAACAAAATCTAGGCCTGAGATCCTCCTATCAAAAGGTGAGGAGAAGAATGATGCCTTTAGGAGAAACGCCCAAGCCCATTCGGCCAGTCGATTAGGAGTCACTTCACTTTTCTCCTACTCAATAGGCGATTCTGCACATCAGCTTATCACCACAACTCTCGCCAATGGAAAGAGTAAAACTTTTAGATGAAGTGGGTAGGCAGGAGGGCAAGTGTGCCACAATACACACCAGTGACAGGAGAGTAGATGGATGGCCAAAGGTGTGAACAAGACGCCATACCATCGGAACCGTGTACTACTAAAACAGAAAGCGTTGTACCACAAGATCATACCTTAACTAGTTAGAATTTATTAACATTTTATGTAACTCTCCCCAACAGTGAATTACAAACTTGATTTACCTTTCAATGTCATGGATGCCATGCAGGTTTCCACGGAGTAGAGTGTAAAGCGCATAAATTTGAGGAGAGGAGAATGTTGAAGCTCAACTTCCGTCTTCATCGATGAAAGGCCATGGAAAGTGGGTAAGGAAAAAAGGATGAATAACTAAGGTGTGTTACGGCACTGTCAGCATGCACTGCAACACTGGGAGAGATACTTTTGTGAGAAAAGTGAGAGAATTTGCTGTCACGGACTCCATGTACGTTTATTCCACTTTGTGTGAGTTGCTGTGACTACCACTAGGGAAAATAGCATCAGGGAGACTGGAGGAGGAGGAGGAGAAGGAGGGGGAGGAGGCAGTAGCCCTCCTGCCTACCCTCTTCATGTAAAAGTTTAACTCTCCATTAGTGAGAGTTGCAGTAATGAGGTTACGTGTTGACTTTTCTTGTAGAAAGAAGAGGATAACTTCTCCTCGACTTTTTATGTGTATAGGGACAAAGTTGGCTTTTTTTTCGCAAACTTCCCTTTCTCTCTTGGGCGGCATCTGCGATGCTTATTCCACATGTCACTTTGTCTGTAGGTTGTGCTCAACTACGAGACAGGAACGGTGATGATACCTAGTCCACTGGAAGGCAATTCGCACATGTCGCGTCTCCTGGAAGATAGTTTGTTTGAGGAAGGAGTTCATTAAGGACGCAGTTCTCAAGACCTACCAACGTACACCATAGCCTCAACAGCAATCGCTTTTGATAAAGACACTGCGTCATTCCAAGCTCCCCTTAGTAGCAGCGTTTCTTGTCATCTTAATCTCATTTATCCTTAGCTTTCATACAACCTACGCGTTACCATGGAGGTGTGAGTGGTGCCACAGGCCCAGACAGACCATCGAATATGGATCAGCATTTAACTGAGGCCAGGGTGACACTAGGAAATCAATTTTGCTTCTGTGTAATAAGCAAATGTTACGGCCTTCAGAACTGCTGCAAATGTAACTTGGAGGAGTTGACACAATCTTTCACTAATTCCATCGGAGTCGGGAATGCCAAAATTTCATTTACAAATAGAGGAGATTGCAGCAAGAGGAGCGAAATCACAGAATGGAGTGCTCTTTGGCGGATTGGCTAACCGTTAAGCAAGCTAGTCTGTCAGTCAGTCAAACACTCCCACCTCATCAATTGCTAAGACAAGCCAAAATTTCCTCTTTTCTAACTTTTCAGCTTGATAAACAAACAAAATATCTGAGGTGGTTAGGCTGAATTAAAAAAGACGCCCTAGTGTTGCGCTGAGCACAGATTCACCGGTATTGCGCCGGATTCGCCCCCTACCCCCCATTTCCATGGTCTGCCTTAAAGGCAGAGGAGCAGCCACCACTGCTTGCCTGATTGCATTAGCCCAGACTGCCTGTCGGTAGAGCTTACTTTGCGTCTTGCCTCAATCTTTCACGACACTCATGTAGGCTGCGTGACCATGTTTGGAGGCTGCAGGGGAGGGGGCTGTAGACTCCGCCTACCTTTTCGTCCGAAGATGTTGATTTTATAGACAGCAAACATTAACCGAGCAGTGGAGGAGCGCATACAAATGAGAAAAGGAGGAGTGAAACAAAGCATTTATTTTTACGTATCCAAGCTTTTAATCAGTGAGTGGGAAACTTCGACACAGAAACATTTGTCAGGATGCCTGTGCCATCCTAGGACAGGTCGCCCATCTTACCCACTCCTCAATATCTTGGTGATAGGCCCAAGCTAACCTTCCAGACTTCGCGGCATTGGCGACAAAAGCTTTGACTATAGGAGCTATGCGTCCACAAAGCTTCCAGTATCAGACATTTCACCGGAACGGCTGCTGTGTTCTGAGCTGGGCAAGTCCCATCCTCTCCGACGCCTAAAACTCTCCCTTCCGTACTATTCCTGATTTTCTATGTGGGTTGTTGTAGATATGCGCTGTCTCAAGTTGACAAGGTGAGCCTAACCAAATCCTGTCATTTTACCTGACGGCATCTCGAGTGGGTTAGCCCACGAAGCTGTGCGGTATCCCTCCAATATCATCTCTTGAATGTATAAAGGCAAACTTGTAAATCGCGGTTTGAAATGAGCGTCTCTGATCCCCATGGCTGACTTAAACACACAGATCATTTAGTCTACACAATTTAAGCACCACTTTCGTTTTACAATGTCCCCTTCATACTCGCTGCCTGCCAGTCCTTTTTTAAGCTGATAATCGACTGTCTTTCCCACCCGATATGTCTCGGAGCTCTGCCCATCACCACTGGTACTAGACCGCAATCCTACTAAATGGTTGGGATTTAGTTTGAAGTGTTGATTATAACCAAAAGTGCCAGATGAAAGGACGGTCCTATTCCGCAAAATGAGACTTTTGAAGTTGCCGTCTCATAATCAACAACTTGATTCCCAAACAGCGTGAGGTGAGGGAGGGGGTGGTAACTTAGGGGACTTCTTATTAGGTTCAGGATATATTCATTCCTTCTTCAAAGGCGTTCCAATCTGTCTCATTAAGAAGGTGGGAATAATAACAATGCTGAATAGTCGGCGCTCGATTACGCGGATATACTACTATACTGCACTAGTAGTATTTGTTCTGCCATACTACCGTAACTTCTTCCAACTTCAAGATTGACTCGGAACGCTACAGATGCACATTTGACACTTATCCACAGAAGTTAAACATACTTTGGGTTAGTAATGAATTTTCGAAATTCATTTGTAAAGAGGAAATTCAAAGTTCCTTAAAATTGCAGCTAAGGAGTAGTGAAACAACTCCAACCAGCGTCCATATTGCCCAATACAAGCAGGCAAGCCCAAGGAGCCATGACTAACCTGTCATGATAAATGGGCTTAGGAGCGGAGAGCCGCTGCTTGGTTGTTAAAACAGTTGGCAAAAAAGTTGCATCACACCTCCTCATTTAGCATCTATAAAGGGTACGCGGAAGTCACAATCGTACCCAAATCTATCGAGTGCAGCGCACCGTCGAACTTCAATTCGCACTGCGAATTTACTGTTCTTCTTTTTACTTAACAAAAAAGTAACCCACGACTAACCAAGTAGGTACGCTAAAGCGGTCACATATACAGAGTTGCATGCTTCCTACCTCTCTCTCCCTCGAAGAAGAAGAAGAAGAAGAAGAAGAAGAAGAAGAAGAATGCCTTGCAGTAAGCACTGTGGCTATCATGTCCTGCAAACTGTAAGCATATTACGCAGTTGTCAATCAGAGTAACTCTTCTAAAGTACAAAATTACCTACTCCCTAATGATAGCTCAATGAGGTTCTGTCTTTGACGGCTTTAGAGTTGCGCACTCGCAACTGAGGAGGTAGTCAGTGTTTGGTGATTACCTCTTCGTCTTCATTTCACTTTGGGCAATAAGGGGTGGTTGGTGGTTGCCTCATTGGCACAAGTATGAGACAAGGCATGCATTAGCTGTTGCCTCCGGGAAAATCTCCCTCCCTCCTCCCCAGCCCAAACTTCATTGAAGTAGTGTCATGAGTGTTAATTATAGGGAGCTTAAGAAAAGCAAGGCACTCTTTTATGTTAAAACCTACAGGTTTTTTTAATCGTTACTCCCTTTAGTCGATTCTGCCTATATTAAGGCTTACACTGTCAGCGTCACCCATACGTGACATGTGTTTTCCCGGTTAATTCATAACAATTAGACACGTCAAATCTTGTATAAAATGAAGTAAATAAGGGTAAAATATTCAAAAACTTTAATGTAGGGATTAGTGACTTAGATCTTTAGCTTTGGGGAGGCATAAATTGAAACCGAGCACACCGAATCATGAGGTCTTCGACAATCGATTTGCTTCTGCGACTCGGCTGAACAACGTAGTAATTCTTTTATTATATGGGAGACTTTTTAAGCCATACAGCATTTTCTACGTCGGTGGCATGGAGCGTCTAGAAATGAACTTCCATTTAGCTACCACGGAATCTGGTGTGAAATAAAACGAGAAGTTGGGAACCAAAAGTGAGATGGCAATAAGAGTGCCTATTACTAGGTTCCTCCCCTACTTCTAGAGACAGTACATCTCATAGAAGTAGAATTTATAAGCACATTGTCTCTTTATGAGAGAAGGGGGAGAGAGATAATGATACATTGCACTAGTGACAATTTTATGTCAAGAGACTTTCTACAATTATTTTGGTCTTCTCCAAGAAGGAGGCGCCAGTCTTTTTGGTTCTCCTCGTGCAAAACAAAACTTGTTTTTAACAACTGAGTGACTGTACATGGAAGTACGTGTGCCCTCTTCAATCCGCCTCCTTTTATGGCACCGGCAACAGCCATTCACTCCATCGTTATTTCTGGCTCCTCCTATCTGACAGGACTCATCAACTTTGTGTGTTACTGCAAGTAGTTCTGACTGCCTCTTAATGCCTCTTTTTCCAAACAAATTAGGAGGAAAAAAGCAAAATAAATGAATTATGTGTTTTTGAAATCCGGATGTATGTGGCCCTTTGGAGGTGGCTAGGAGCGGCCAATCAAATGAGTCCATTGCGAACTAATAAAAGCTTCTGATTAGTTAAATAAGTATCTTTAAAAAAACATTTGTGATTATGTTTACCCCTTTCTTGGAAAAAAAAAGGAAAGCTACTTTCAAGTAGATTTTTTGTGAAGCACAATCAAACGCAGCCGTTTCTACTCCAAAACAAATGGTGAATTTGGAAGACATGGAGCAGCCCTTTTGGTACCCTGTCAGTCCGCCTCCTCTCTTGCGGAAGACGGGTGTGCTCAACGTAAGGAGACCATGGGCTGAAATAAGTTCTGTTTCATCGCTTCAAAAAGAATAGGCAAGAAAGAATTTCCTAAACTTTATTTTTTTTTTGAGAGAGAGTGAACGCTGAAGCGGAATACCCACCACGAAGTGGACCGGCTTTAGAGACTGTCATACAAGCTAGCAACGCCCACTTGATGTAAAGGTTTTTTACCGCATTAAACACATTTGTAATCCTTGATTTAGGGCTCTCTAAGGGACAGAAAAGTCAAGCAAAAGCCAACTGCTTTCCAATCCTAGTTTTTTGATTAATTTTGTCTTAGGACGACGACACTTTCTGAAGCACCTCAGTGTTTGTCGGCCGTACGCTTTTAGGGTGTTAGGCTGACTGGCGAAGGGGGTGGGGAAGCATGATAAAGCCTGTCGAATGAGACTCCTACTCAGTTGTACTTGTCACTAAAATTCCTGTTAGATGACATATCATGAGTGCCGGTTTGTTTATGGTGCAATAGGTTTTATCCCACTTGATTGGATAAAGTGAAGCCAAAAAAAGGGGAGGAAATACTGAATAAGTATGACGTGAGAAGGCTCAAATGGTAACCAGATAAGGTTACGCTGCTGTCCTTGCTCTTCTCTTATCTCCGGTGGGTCTAAAAGCGCCATTTTTCATGGTCCAGTGGGCCTGTGGCTCTCTGGATGTGCCCTGGTTAATACGCATATCAGTTTATGGGCCGACCGACCGGATCGGGGAATGAGATAGCTGACAAAAGCGAAGCAGAAGGCTAAAACAAGACGCAAAATTGACGAGAGGTTGCAAGACAACCGCAGCGTCAGCTCTAGCCTGTTTAAGGGGAGAAATATTGACTTTCTGGTGACGTAGGGGACAGGAGACCCACCACAATTCGTGGGCCTTCTCGTGACTCAGCATTGTATGCCTGTGTTTTGAGGAATGTCTAGGTGAAAGGAAAAGTGCACAGCAAAGTGGGTTTTGGGATTAAAATTTGGCAATTCCTCTTAATTTATCACAAACTGTTGCGAATGCCTCACTTCTGATGTGCTTTTGATCAACTTGACATGAATGGCTCTCGTCTCTCGTCTACCTCTCCGCTCAAGCGGGATGTTTGAGCGAATCCGCTCTTCAGGAGGCTGTGAGCACCAGTTGGAATCCATCTCACCTCTAAGGTAAGTGTAAATGAATGACTGCTTAATTTGCCAGTTTTGGAAACAGACCAACTTCCCCCTCCCTCGAAACTGGCAGTCCCGCTCTGCTAGACTGTTATGTAAACAGTGCGATACACAATAGAGAGTGCCACGTCTGCCTGTCTGCACTCGTTGGCTAGCCACCCACCCAGTCCAGACGCCACTGGTAACTAAGGTGATAGTGAGGCTGAGCTTCAAATATTTTCATTAACAAAGACGTTGAAGCTCAACTGAGGGAAGACTTTTAGCATGAGAAGACGCTTTAACGATGTAGAGGGCGTAAAGGACTCTGATTTCCAGTTCACACCACGACAAGCATTGCCGTGGAAGCGATGAAGGTGGCGCTGTTATTTACAACCACGTGCACCGAAATTTTTTACCTTAAAAACTCCAGTCCAAACTGACCACCAAGGCGCCACGTTGACAAGTGAAGCGAACTGACTAGCCTCGGCTTAGAGAAGTTGTTTTGTCGTACTGACAAGGGCATCTATTGACACAGTTCTCCAGAAACTTGTTTAACGTTGAAATACATTGCGTCAAAAATCTAAACGAAATTGCTACTTTTTGATTTTCCACTTTTCCGTAGATCCAAAATCCCTGGTGCACACCGAATGGAATTGCGGATGAGGAAACAAGAGACTAGTTTAAAGGTCCGATTAAATAATTCCCTTCAAATTATAGTGGCAGTGAATGAACTAGGTGAAGACAAATGGAATGCCCCGGGGGAAGGCAACATCGAAGCCACATCCTCGAAGGCTGGCGAATGCGGTAGGCGAGCACTGGCAAGTAGAAGCCACTTAGTTGCTACACCTTCACCGCACCAGTAAAGGCATAGCATATGGAGTGAATAAAGGAGAGGTAAGGAAGGAGAAAAAAGCAGTTACCATTTCGAAGGTGAAGGTTAAGTATACGACTGTCAATTTTGCAATAAGTGATTCCTGACACCACTTCCACACCACTCTGTAAGCAATTTTTATCACCACCTAACTTAACTTTCCAAATAAAATATTTTTTTTGTTTTGTTCATGCCCTTAGATGCAATTATTGACTTCAGTGAAGCAGCAATGCCTCGATGGAGGTGAGCTAAATGGTTCGACATGTGGTCACCCACCTCGTGGCAGAATCCCCGACCAAGTATGTTAGTAGGTGGGTAATTAAGCAGGTAAATAAGTAGATAATTAGGAGTAATGGGAAGTAAGATAAAGTCGGCTTAACCTCCGGGAAATGGAGTGTTCGGCTTCTCCGTTTCTATCTTTCAGTTTTGGAATAAAGGCGTTTCAAGTTCTGGGTGCCTTGCGTCACTTCCTGTTGAGCTAACCATCACTTTTTCCATTCATAATGCGAGAATATTAGCCCCCTTGCTGTTTTATTAAGTCACAACCATTCATAAAGGCAAGAAGCCCCTGATTTGGCCATAAAAGGAGCCGATTTCGTCGCAAAACACTGATTAATGCAGTAAGGAGTGACACGTATTTACGCCTGGCATGGATGTGTGTGCGTGTGCCACCGTAAAAACCGTGGGTTTATGCAATGTTGGAATGGTTGTGCTACGGAAATGCGCAACTACTGATGCATAACACAATCTTGGGTCCAATGTCATTGTAAAAGAAGTATTTTTCTTTGTTTCTGGCGAAATGCGATAGTAGTGAAGCCCTTTGTCCATTGAATTTCGACCTCTACGCCGAGCACACAAAGCTTACTCAATCCTTCCACGTACTAAGTATAAAGCAGCTGATACACTCAATGTCTCTATGGTGGTGCGATATCTTTCGGTTCTCAAAGGGGTCGAGATCATCTAGAGAAGATAACTTACAAGAAGTGAAATGGAGTATTGTCTCACCTTGCAAGATCCCGTGAATGAAGTGAAGACAATGTGTAGAAGTAAGTCACTTTTACGCTTTAGTAAGCAAGCCTAAAAGTGAATACGATATCATTTTGCTGATTTTGCATTTATTTTATAGAGAAGGGAATAAATAACTACAGTTTCCCCACAGTTATGACAATTACCACAAGGTCTTTTTCGATATCAATAAACACCTCTTGTAGTGGTTTGTGATAACGAGTAATTATGGTTAGTGCTTAAAAAAACACTTTAATCGAAAAATTATTTAGAAGAAAGATGCTATTTATAGGTATCTTGTGTTATTAGGCGAACCTTTTGAGTCCTTCCGTGTCTAGGCCTGAATGGCAGGGGTACGGGACACGTCACCTCCCTCTTTGACCTGCATTACATGTCGCAAAACTAATTTTTTTTATTGATGAGGTCTAGAATAGTAGATTATTTAGAATTTTTTTCAGAAGCAATTAAAAATGAGGAGAAAAAAAACATGTCAACTCATTTAGCTACTGATCTAGGCGTCAATAAAGGAGTGAATAGCACTGGTACTTTATGGGAAAAATGGCACGAAAACCACTTATTTTATTTGTCTAGTGTGGGAAAAATATATTTTTACATCAGTGTGCTTTGCGAGATTTATTGCGACCTCATAATTGCACAGTCAAAGGCAGCCCCCATTTGACCCTCACATTTTGTAACCGTGCGCACTAGTTTGCGGTTATGATTGGACCTCGCGCTTGTCCAATTAAATTCATCCGCCAATTACATGCACCTCGAGCTGGCCAATGAGGGGTTGGCCTTTTAAAGGATATTTAAACCGCAGCTTTACAATCCCCACTGCAGTGCACGCATTCTAACCGCTCTGGAGCCGAAAAGCTAATGCTAACATGATTTTGTTCTACCTATATAGGCTATCCATTGCGATGGTCTCTATCCTATTCAAATTACTTCTTGATTCCCATTCGTGCGTCGCTGAAAATCCTGAGGAGAAACAGGCCGTCACTTTCAATCCTGAAAAACCGATTTCCGAGAACTTTTTCAACTACTCCCAGTTCGCTCTCTACTACTTTCCCCAGGTGCACTTCTTCGATAAGTACTTTACAATTGTCCTCTTCACCATCGGCTTTCCTGGCAACTTCATCGCCTTCATGGTATGGTCCAGCAAACGGATGTACCACGGGAACTCGGCAGCCGTCTACTTGGCAGCTCTTTCACTCAACGACACTGTTGTTCTAGCCATCTCTCTCTTCCGTGACTTGACGAGAACTTGGGATGTACCCTTCTATCCAACACCGGGATCTTGTGAAGTCCTCGAAACTCTCACGTTAACTGTTCAATATGCCTCTCCTATGTTCGTCCTAGCCTTCACTGTAGAACGATGGCTAGCGATATGCCAGCCATTCATGGTCTCCCGAATCTGTTCCGTTAAGCGAGCTGTCCATATCTGCGTTGGCATTATCCTCCTAACTCTCCTCGTTTGTTCTCCCATGGCCTATCTGATGGGCACAGATCCCCAGGGATGCCAAGCGCGTTCCACAGCCGTCTTCTACTTCACGACAACTCTTGAAGTGCTTTACTCCCTCGTAGCTCCACTCTTAGTTCTTACCTTTAACTGTCTCGTTATCAACGAGATGGCAAAGATTCGACGCGCCCAAATGAAGAAAATGATTCCGGTTGTGCCGCGAGGCAGCTCCACTGGTGGACGGGTCAACGATTCGGGAATGGTGCGACGACTGCTTCGAAAATCCACTTCCGATAAAGACTCTGAGATCGGAGCAATAAAATTGTCCACTTCCTCCAAGGAGCCCCCTAGAGGACGGGCAGAGAGTGATCAGACGGCGGGTGGTGGAGAGGCCTCTTCACCCAAATTCAAGTCCACCACAATAATGCTACTGGTGGTCAGCTTCTATGTTATTTTTGCCACTCTCCTCGGCGGTCTGTGGTATGTGCTTGATCTCAAGTTCTCCATCGATACCTACGTTGGATGGCCAAAGCGTCAGGTAAGCTGGACGATTTTATTTTTATCCACTCAAAGTTGATTAAGATTCACGAGAATTTGACCATGAAGCTTTACCAAAAGTAGCGTTTAAAAGGTTATGTTTCCTCTTGACTTTTGGGTAGCAGAAAAACTGTCGAAAGGTGTATGAGACGACGAGACTCAAATGTGACAGAACCAAAAAATCCTCCTTGGAGTTAACATTTTAGCGCCAGTTGGAGGGAGCAGGAGTGATGCTGGCCCAATTGGACTCCAAGGTCTTAAATAAAATGGGATATTTTATAATATATTCGAGAAAAAGGGAATGAGATTTTTTAATTGCTTCAGAGAAGAAGGCGTACTTTCAGATCAAGTACTTGATTAGAATGGGGAGATTTGCAGATACGTTTGAGGTACGGTAGCGGTTTTATTTTTTTCCCCTTTTCACCAAGATAATCACCTACTGCTCAGTTGCATATGTTTCTTCTCTGAAAATCTACATCCCCTTCCCCAGGTTTGATTCGTACCCCTTTAATCTGCGAATATTTTAATATAATTCCTCTCTTAAGAAGACAATAAAATCCAGTTAACTGTGCGATCACTGCCCTGCTACTAAGGGGATGGGGTATGTGCGTCGCAGTCGGAGGACAATAAACGTTTTGGCAAACAAAATTTGCATTTGAGGGACAGAGAGATTGGAGGATTTGCCTGTAAACAACTTTTATTTTCCATCATATGACTGTGCAGTAGTAGCACCAGCATCACTTTTACGGTCTCGGGGGGCGGAGTTGGGTAAATCACCGAACTACCTCCCTTTGTTCACCCATATACGCAATAACAAGGTCATACCGACGTTTTTTTTATCTTTCTACCTTCATCAGAACATTTTAAGTGGGGCGATTGGTCGTAGTCGGTGGTAGTGTTTCGCTACCACCCGACTACCCGTGGATTGTGTTATTTTCTCCCCTTTCGATGTGAAGGCTCGGGTGTATTTCTTATTAGTTCTCCGCAGATTTGTCATGAATGTCAAGTAAGCATTTGACTGACTGACTAGCTAACTAATTCTCAATATGACTTCAGCGTAGAGACAATATGAATTGTGTACCCCACGCACTTTGGGGAGGAGGTTTGCCAGACCTGGAGGTTTTAGATCCGCTCTGAGGCAGTAGGTGATGGAATCCGGAGGCCTTTGGAAAGCACAACTCGAGGCTTTTTTAACCACTTGCATCCTTTAGGAGGCAGATGGTGAAAGGCTACCTTAAATCACCTTTACTTTCGGCTGAGAGCGAAGAGCTGTTTGATTTTGAAGTAATTTAGACAACTGTCAAGCCCTCTGGCTCACCTTTGAAGCATTCTTTCGATTGATACACGACGTGTTTGACTTTTCGGCCGAGCAAAAAAGGGAGTGGGAGGAGAAAATATTTCCCTACCTTGTTGTAAATGCCTTTTGATGTCGCATTCAGCGTGAGACTGGAAAAGCATTGCATTGCCTGGTCTGATCCAAGGACTGAACGACGGCTCCCAGCTCCTCAATCTAGTTGAACACCCATCTCCCATTTGAGGTGCCGGCCTTTTTTCCTCTTTTTTGCGAAATTAAGAGGCCATTGATTCCCTTTTTATCTCCACTTCTGACTTATGTGGCTCTGAGTCAATTTTTTGTTGGCGATGGCGAGAGCGGGATGGTGGCAGAGGCCAGCGACAAGTTTATGCGTGGCCTTAGCACCTGAAGGGAGCCACGGCTACGACCTCATATCGACCTTTCGGTGGTAAATATAATAAATTTGGAGGTCTTCCCCTCTCTTTTTAATTAAGGGTCATCTGCTGAAGGTATGATGACCCCCTACTCTTTACGTGTCTCCACTTGTAAAGATAACGTCTGTTTCACTGTCTCCCCTTAGTTTTATGAAAAAAGAAAGTCAAATGGTGCACCTTCTTCACTTCTAGCCCATCCCGCTTTATAAGACGGTTTGTTGTGGTGTGGTTGAAGTTAATTTTCGTGGGTTTATAGTCAATCTAAGTGGATAGGGACTATATTCTACTCTCTGTCTGCCACCATCTGGAGGACATCTCGAGCTTATTCCTCCCAGGATTGAAAGTTTTTTTTGGATAACCCCCTTTATAATTTTACTTCCCCTCGCAATTTGATATAGTCCTTTATAAACTGAATAAACAAACCCGACTTGAGAGTTTATTTTTGTTTTGATGTTCTGTCACCCAAATTAGGGAGGTGCTCCATTCACTATGTAGGCAATTTTCCCCGGTCTAGTTGGGCGTGTGAACCCAGCGTAGCAAGACTAATTCAAATAGACCTTTTGCCTCGGGTAGAAACATCCTGTTTGCCACCACGAGGTAAGCCCTATGTACGAATACAAAGAGGAATTACAAAGCGACCACCCTGCCAACAAACAGGACGCGTTCCCATAGCGAGTCCAGCGGATGGGGTCGTACACACTCGTCATGCCATTGAGGTAACTGAGGAAAAAATAAGACTGAAAGCAAAAAATGAAAAAGGCGAAGTGCACTAATGTCCCGGTTTGAAATAATGTTGCCAAACGATGCACAGAAACGAGTCGTTGGTACTACTTAATCCACTTAAAAAGGGAAAGGTAGTGAATGTACACCTTAAAAGGCAAGCTTCGCCTCCAAATTTTTCCTTTATTTTATTCATTCTGGTAGCCGAGACTTTCTCTGTTCTCTTTTTCCCTCCAAGACCAACTTTAATGGGGCAGGTGTACAGTTTATACTACTTAAAGCACTTTAAGTAACGGAAAGACGTTAAAACGAAGAATTTCGTTTTTTGCATTCTTTTCCTTTATTGTATTATATTCAGCGGTCAGTGCTTGGTTTTGTACTATTTTCGCCTCCAAAAACCACTTCACTAGGGCAGGAGGGGAAAACATGACAATAAGTGGTTAGGGGATGTGTGATTGGAGGGCAACTTGTTGCTGTGTTTGCGTGCCAGAGAGGGAGAACTGGCAAAGGGGGTTCATAGTTAATTAATCAACCCCAGCGAATAGAAGCTTCTCCTCCTCCTCCTCCACCACCACCAATTGCGTCGAAACGTTGTTACTAGTACATAAATCATGTCAATTAAAAGGTGTGTTTATCGTCTGGCCTGGAAGCACCTTCGTGATTGCTTCCTTCATGCCCCATGTAAATTGGCGACTCAAAATTGTTTACCCCAATAATTTATTTAAGCAAATTCCTTTTGCTTTTTAAAAATCAAAGATGGTTTTAGATGTCTCGGTACCAAAGACGGGGAGGGTTAAAATGCTGCTGCTTGATGTATAATTGGTATGGGATAGTCTCATGACTTGTGTGATTTCTTTTCTTTCTTTTTCTTCTCTGCCCTGCTTCCACCCTCTCCTCCTCTTTCTGCCGCTTTTGCTGACTGTCTGCGACATAAAACAGGAAGGAAGGATGTACAAGTAACCTCCCTTTACATTATAGAGGCAGCTCATCTCCGGCCACACCTATGTAGCACCCGAGGTAGCAGTGGGGACATCGAAAGAGAGAAGGGAGGCTGAAAGCCTTTTTATTGTAGATGCATAGGAAGACTGAGAGAGACTAATTTAGCAGCGGATTGTCCCGAACTAAAAGGTCGGTTTATTAGTCACTACTACCTCTTTATCGCTCCCCGCGCTGGTCTCCGCTCCTGACCTAAATGAAGACTTTGGTGGACACAAAAAGCCTACCTCTTAGCACATCATTTTAGTATCTCTTATAAAAAAATAAATGCAATCGCAGACAGCTAAAAGGTTTAATGACTAGGTAAAACACACCCTTATGCCATTTTGGGAGGGTCTACTGACACTTTGCCTCGACTGACATTCTCAAGGCAGCCCTGGCTAAAGGATCACCTATCCAATCGCCCATGCACAGAAGCAACACCAACCAGATGTGGATTTAATGCATCAAAACAGTTTCTTTTTTTTCTACTTTTGCACAGCAAAATGGGTGCACTGACGCCCTAGTAGCGAAGGTATTTTGGCCTTTCTCTCCCCCTACCTCCCCACCCTTACGGTACAGATCCAAAGAGGTTAGTTTCCCTATCTCCGCCAAGAGGAAGAAATGAAGTCACTAATGAATTTAACAACTTTTTCGAAAAAGGGGAAGAAGGAGAGAAGAGAAAAAATTGGAATTAGGGCATTAATTATAAAAATGTGAGCTCTGAATGTGCCTTCACACCGCTCCGATGGAGGAGGGATGGATGCCACTGCATGCACGATGTCTTGGCTGAGTGTACACTTGAGTTTTTTGCAAAAAAGGAAAAAATGGAGAGAGAATGGATACGATCCTTTCTTACCATTGGAATAATGAAATAGGAAATCCAAATTGCTCCATATCAAATTGATGAATGATTTTCTCATTGGAGGAGGAGACTCTAGTCGATCTTCAGCTTGAGGCAATCTGGTCAGGGCTCCCCAACGCTTTGGTGTTATTCATGAATTTAGTAATAATTTCCTCATTTTTATTTATCAACTCTATACGATTTAATAAATCACAGTTAATTGGTTCTCATCAGTGGGTGTCTCCTCCTTCCTTGTCGGTGTGCTTTTCTTCAGCCCACTGGTCGCCCTGTTGGTTAGGCGGCTAGGAGGAGAGGGAAGGAGTTCGTCTCCATCCCCCTCCTTTTATCTGATAAATGTATTTTTTCATCCTACCGTGCTAATACAACAGTTTGGACTTCACGTGTGAATTCTGCGCATATAATTCAGTCACTCCCGCCAGTCGGCGAAACAAAATATTCGTAAATGTTCCAATTTGGACAACTTTGCACCTCTCCAAGTACAATTTAGAAAAGGTTAAAAATAACAGCGGAGTGCGTTGGATATTTTCCGTCTACTTTGCAAATAAATTTTATTTCTTTTATAAAAGGTCGGCACTTGAAACGAGAACGTACTAATGCATCTTAATGGCCTCTCTCTCGGTAGGGCGAAAAAGTACAAAAACGCTCAAATTCTGTCAGTGAGCTTTCAATTTCCCACTTGGTTTGTTTTGGAAGGAGAGTGCGAAAGAAAGAGAATAAATGGAGGCACAATGAAGGATTAGATGGGGGAGTTGCCGTGACCCCTTCACTCACCCCCTCATCTGCCATGACCCCTACCCCGCCGGCTCACAAGAAAATTTAATATGCATTTGGTGGGGATATCCGACTAAATAGAAGTATTGGCCCACTTGCGGTGTCTTTTGTGGGGACAACCAATAGATAGCGACATCTCCCTTGCCTCCGCCTCCATTGTGAGTTGTTAATGTCACTGACTCTGTAATTAAAATAGCACCAAAATTAGTCTAGTAATCAGTTTCTGTCCGAACTGACCCTTGTGAAGCTCAAACCATCGCCTCTACAAGGCATCTATGTAAAAAGGGGTGTGGGAGTAGCCTTACAGCGGAGGCCTGCTCGGTCGTTGCAGCAGCGAGGCTCAAACGAAGGCCACTGAACATTTTTCCATTGCTAACGGAAGATGTCAAACCTCAGTAGTGCTTATTTATCTCATAAAAGAGTACGAAAATTTGGAACATCATCGAGGAAAATACCAGACTCTCCTGGGAGAATGTATCAGGTGTCGATCATTTTGGTTGGGGATAAAGTAATGTACCAAGCATGTCTCCATGGTGTTGTGGCCAGATTAAGCTCCTCCTCTCCCTTCCAATTTGTCACTACCTTAGTTCTTTCAGGCCGCTTACTGAAGTCATTCCCAGCTTCTTGTATCACGAAGGAAGTTAATAATTCACTCTCAGGATTGTATCATTCCTGTGGGTACATTTTAAGCAGTTAAATCGGCGAATGTACCAACTTCTTGATGAACTTTTCCTAACCAGCTTCCACAGCACGTGCCTCTCCATGTGCCCTTTCGTTGGTTAATCAGTTCACAAGGGGCAGAAGACTTTGAGCGTGGGTGGCAGGGTGCTTTGCAGAAATTTAAAAGCAAATCCTACAAATCAGGGAGTGGACAAATTGGCCAAAGACCTGGTAGCGGCGGTGACGTAGGTGGGATCACGAGAGGCTAATCAACTACCGCTATTCCAGGTTAATGCAAGCGCCCGTACTTCTTTTTCCCTTTTTGCTTTGCAGTTCGATGAAAGCGAGACGGTGGCCAGAGCACTCAAACTGCGGATGATTAAGATCATCTGTGACGAGTTGGCCCTCTCCCACTTCGCAATGGGCTTTGTGCTCTACTTTAGCACAGGCAAAAATTTTCGTGACGAGGTGCATCGTCTCTTCATTCGTTGCGGTATCTGCAGAAGAGGCAAGGCCTCCGACAACACTCGCAACAGCCTGAGTAGTGAAATGGGCAGAAGCAGTGTCTCTACTCGAACAAATCGAGAGAAGAAGAGACTACTCACCTCAATGTCCAACCACCGACAGGAGAATAGGCTTCTAGCACTGCGTCGAGGCCTGCTCTTCTTCAAGCGCGGTCGAAAGAGCTCCGATTTTCCTGGACTAGATCAATGCGGTCGTCGGGGTGAGCGACAGCCCTCGAAGTTGCTCCTAACACCAAAAGCTAATGCCAATGGCGATTTTCCGTCTCCTCTTTGATTGGCATCCCCTTACTCGTCGCCTCGGCCTTCAAGTCCACTTACGGTACGAGCGAACCCTTCCTGTTCCACATGTAAATATCGCCGCGATTTGTTTGTGCTATTTGAGATAACCGGGCAGACAGTGAGGGGAATATGTACTACTAATATTGCTTTAAAGAATTCCATACCATGTACACATTGAGCTATATTTTGTGATGTCGGTTATGCCTCCTCTTGATTGCTAGAGGAGGTGTGCTAACTTGACTGCCGAATGTCCTACCGAGTTGTTGCGGTGGATGAAAATTACCCACAATAAGGCAGATCTTGTTCCAAACTTCGGTAGTGTCAGCATTTTTGTCAAGTACTTTTTCCACGAGTTAACAAAATCTCACTCCTGCTAATTAATTACACTGTAAAGTACATTGTACCCAAGTAGAGAAAAGCGTAAAATATGGCGATTTTGCCCCATTCAAGTGCCTATAATAGGGGGCTTAAATCGGAGCGCACGGAAGTGTTCCGAGGCCTGAATAAAGTGCGCAAAGAGCGGTGAGGAAGTCACCACATTACTTCCACAGGACCTCCGCAGTGGTGGCGCCGAAACTGATCACGTAGATGAGGAAGATAAAGGAAGTCGGCTGCATCGAAAGGGTGGGGCGAAAGGGTGGACTAGGGGACCCCGGGAGCTGCTCTCCCCGCTATCGGACTTGTGGTAGACTTCCCACTGGCAAGTCGGGTGGAACGGGTGTGCCAAGTGACGAAGCGGGCATTCCCATCCTCAAATATGAGATCTCTCAACTCCAACAAATTTAAGTTCATAAAAGGCGAGTAGACAACCAATGTATAATAGACTAGGTGATAAGGGACTCCCCGCAAGATATCCATACGTCCTCCGCGGTACAGATGTCAATGATTCAAGTTCTTCTTTTAGGTCCCTCACAACCTCGTTACTTGCGCCGACCGGTGGAATATGTCAAAAGTTCCTGCCTCTAATTTTGTTTGAATTCTGAACATGGAGTTTGGGGCTTATCCTCTTTGGCAAGTCTTAATGAAAGGTAAAAAAAGGAGTCCGTAGAGGAGGTAAAGGTGGGGATGAGTTGATGCAAAAAGGGAGAAATAACTATAGATAGATTAGAAAACTATTTTAGAAGTCGAATTAACCGCTTATGGTCCTAGTCTACTGTTAAACGAAGCTTAGCCTTCCAATTCCGTCTTGTTTGTATTTCCCCACTCGTCTACTTTGTAAGCGACCCTTCAAGCCTTGAATTGGGCCTGGTGCTGACTTTTAGGACTGGGGCTCCCTTCTAACGTGCACTCGAGGTTCAACGTGCCAAGTAATGAGACCTCGTTCGTGGTTGTTTACCCTACAGCGAATAGTTCCTAGCAAACAATTCCGTCTACTGGCCATTGCGCGCAAAGCCACCGGGTGAAAATTGTGATTTGTGTGTCCTTGAAAGGCGCAAGAGATAAATCTTACTGTCAGTCAGTCAGCAAACAGTCTTTCTTTAACGGCGTCCCCATGGGGGGTGCATCAAAGAAGACTGTAACTCGGCAGCCCTTTAGAATTATTAAAATTTTGGTTCGATGGATGGACTTTACCTTTTCAAATGATGCGAATAAAAGGGGCGTTTCCTCACCACTCATACACTCACCTGTTACTTTCTTGTAAACTTAGTGTGCCAATGGCAACGTGCAGCCTTCACCACTGACGAGTCAAAGTAGAAGTACAGGAATTCTTTCCCATTGTGGTGTAATAGCTTTCCGATCAATTTAATTGGTACTGATACGTGCCACCATAACTCCGCAAACCGCTGCCACACCTTCTCTGAATGCCATAATGGAAACGAGTTTCTGTGGGGGATGAACGGAGTGGAAGTTGGCTCAACAAGCAGACAAGGTGGAGTTGTAGACGTTATGTTGATGTAACCTAGATTTCAAGGTACGAGAGGGCTCCAAGACACCCTTTGTCGCTTATCCTCCCAACCCAACAGCCAAATCAATCCGGACCGTTCTCCTAGTCTTTTGATTGGTTGATCCAAGTAGCTGTAGCCCACTTACTCCCCTCAATCCTGATTGCTATGAATGTAAACCATTACAAACCCTATTATAACTCAATCCATCGATTTGACTAGTGACAATAAAACTCTTCTTTTCCGCTTTCACTGAGGGGTGGTCCTGTGCAAGTCCGTGCCTCTAGTAGGGCACAGCTAGGAACTCATGAACACCTTTTTTTAATCAAGGAGGCGCCTTAAGTTTAGCAAGGTTAAGCGAAACTGCTAGAGACACCTCCTTTTCCAAAACCTCAGAGCCAGAAGCAACGGCCACTCGAAGCTGGGTCCATTCGATATGCTAGTGCTCTCCAATTTCAACTCGTTACCACCGATGATAGGTCGGAAACCAACTACTGAAGCGGTAAGAACTAGCTTTTTAACAGGGAAAGTAAATCCCCTTGTTTTCGTCAGAGTGACATGTCAAATTAAAGGGCACCCAAATGGCAGCCACTCGTGCACTTGCTAGCAAGTATGGCAAATGCCATTTTTCGAGCCGTAACCATTTAAGAAATACAGCTGTCAGAAATGGTGGGGATGAGGGCACACAGAAGAATGCTGAGGTTTCAATGTGCGCTTGACCTGATACTCATTGACCTCCTAATTAAATATTTAATAGACATGAGTCCGGACCGGACTTAACGAGTAAGGCAAGGGGATTCAACGAGTACGTACGAGGTAGCGAAGACTGCCCGAGAGTCCATTAGTGGCTCCATTTACACTTATGGTATCAAATTGACCTTAAGCTCTGACTGGTGCTAGACATGAACCACTCAGCAGAAAGTGAGGAATACCACCACTCTCTAGGAGGTTTGGCAATTATCAGTCGTTTGAAACCTCTAGGGAACCGAAAAGAAACGTTTTCTAGCATTGTAGGCGCCTTGAACCCACCCTACGCTAGCTACGTTTGACAAGGAGGCCATGATCCTTAGGGCACATGTCACCTTGTCCATCAATAACCTTCGGATGGGACCACAATCTGCCGCCACCTGTGACATCAGCAGTCTTAACCACGAGAAAGTGGGACAGCTAATGGACGGCAACCGCGAAAGCCAACTGTCCATCTTTAGCTTACAACCTCAAGGTCAGGGCTAACAAACAACTGTCACCCACACCGACGCATCACGCGCCGACATGAAACCAAACTACTGTAACCCACCATGACTCACTTTGGTTTAATCGGTGGTTGTCTACACTTTTACATCGTTTGCCATCTCCGAAAGGGCGTGGTTAGGAGGAAGACGACACCAGGTTGTGGAGGCTCGATTCACAGCAAAAAAAAACATTGAACCCGAATTACAGTCCTGGATGCCACACCCAAATGCCAAGGATGAGAGGCACCTCTTGTGCATGTCTGACTTCTGAAGCCCAACATTGGGCAAACTCTCAGTAGGATAACCATCAAAGGCGCGTACAAGTAGGACCATCGACCAGATCGCCTGTACTGCAAAGTGGTCGTCATCGAATGACCAAGGACGTGAAAGCGCACTGAAACGCTGCTACCGGCACTCACTGTACAGTTGTCCGCCCTACTTACATGGCGACATCTGAGTTGATGCTGCAGCCGATTGACTGGATGGAACCCAATTAACCAAGTGAAGTGCGTAGCAGTGAAATGAGGGGGAGGTGCTCGGGGGGCTTGATTGATAAATCTTAGCACAAATTAGACAGTTCAGAAGGCTCCTCCTTTTTCCACCTTAGTTATCCTTCCAAATTTAGTAAAAAATGAGAATAGCGGGTGGACCTGATCGAAGCCAACAAGAAAAATCAACGTAAGCATTTTCAGGAATCTGAAGCCGTCTCCTCATTGGGGTATAAAAAAGCCTCCGCATGATCTTCAAACCTGTCTTGCGCTTAATTTTGGTTCGTCCCACCACTGATGCGATAGCTGAGACGGGAAATTAGGCGTGGGAGACGCCGACGCCAACGCTTCAAAGAGGGCAGGGGTTATTAAGCCGGGGTGTGTGTGGGGGAATGCAAGGCGTTATTTGCATCATACAGACTGTTCTGTGGCCTCTCCGATAGTAACGTTTGGTTTGGATTGATGTTTTAATTGTGTAATTTGTGATTTCGGAAACAAAATACGCAAAAAGGGGATGGCGGGAATGACATCAGTTTCGCGTGGAAGTGAAAAAGCAGTGAATGTTTTTCGTTGACCGACACCAAATCATTGCATAGCGACCGAAACTGTGTGGATTCCTTAAAGAGCAACAAATAAATAAAAGGGCGGAAAACTTTGCAGTCAACATTCCACTTTTGCTGAATGCCCAGCTAGGGACTGCAAAGTGCCCCGAAAAGGCATTCGCTTTCCCACTGCTTGATATGGCGTGAATGAACTTTGTAATTTCGGAAGTGGGCAAAGTTAAGGCAAATTTTATGGGCACCTGTCATACCAACCTATTCGTCCGCTTCAGCGCACAGCCCAGTTAAGTGGCTTGCCTTAAAATGAAGCGAAATGCGGAACACGGTAGATATTTAAATGCCCTCTTTGACCATGTGCAAAATAAACGGGTTATATGCTTGACCCAGTCATTTGGCTATGGGAAAAGAAATGACAGTCTTTACAAGTCGGAATAGGTAAAAGAACCCATTCCCAGCTGCGGTCCCTGTTTGGTTATTATCAAAGAAGCACTCTTTCCGGTAGAGCGAGAAGGGGTTGGGAGGGTACATAAGTTTGGGGAAGTTGAAGGAATGACCTAAGTTGGTCTTTTTGACGTGACGTCTGTCATATGAGACGAGGAACCTACGTCGAAGTGAATGACCTTAAAGGTGATTTTCTATTTTGACGTGAAAACCATCCTCTGGGTTGAGGGGCTAGTCGTCCAAATTGACCACTTACAAGTTTGAAAATTAATGTCCTCATGACCTCCAAGTAGTAGCAGTGTCTACCTCGTCAACCGAATGGGAGGGAATTACAGCAAGCTGTAAGCATTGCTTAAAATATGTAATTTCAAAACTTGGCTATTTCATATTT